ATTTTTTAATGTACACAATTATGTTGTCTGCATATAATCACAATTTAAACCCTGCCTTTATAATCTTTATATACTTCTTTTTAAAGTACACTTTTCTTTTATTCTTTTTTCCTTCTTTTGCACTGACTAGCTATGCCTTGCAGTATGATGATAAATAAAAGTGATAGTGAATGTCACTATCAACACATCACTAGTAAGTATGTTTTCTTTAGATTATTTTTGTAGATACCTTTGATCAAATTTTAGAATGTTCCCTTGTACTAGTTTATTCTACAAAAAAAAAATCATGAATAGGTGTTAAATTTTATCAATACATTATGTTATACCATTAATATGCTATATTGTATTGATTTTCAAATGTTAAAACAGCCCTCATTGTTGGAATAAACCTCATTTGGTAGTAATATTCTACCCTTTTTGTAGATGCCTGAATTTAATTTACAATATTTTGCTGATGAAAAAGACTGGTCTGTAGTTTACTTTCTTATAATATCCTTGTCAGACTTTGGAATCAAAATTATGTTGGCCTCATGAAATGAGCTGAGAAGATTTGTTCTACTTTTATTCTCTGGAAGTGTCATATAGGAGCGGTATTTTTTTTCCTTAAATGTTTGGAAAAGTTACTTGGCTTAAAATATCATTGTGGCAATGTATTAAAAATACATTCAATTTCCTATTAGATATACAATTATTCATATTTTAAATATCTTGTATCAGTTTTTTTTTTTTTTTTTTTTCTCTGTTGCCCAGGCTGGAGTGCAGTGGCACAATCTCGGCTCACTGCAACCTCTACCTCCTGGGTTCAGGTGATCATCCTGCTTCAGCCTCCAGAAAAGCTGGGATTACAGGCATGAGCCACTGCGCCTGGCCTATATGTCTGTCTATATACCAGGACCACAGTTTCTTTATTACAGGAGCTTTTTGAAGTTTTGAAACCAGGAATGTGAGTCCTTCTATTTTGTTTTTCTTTTTCAAAACTGCTTTGGCTATTTGGGGCCCCAGTTCCAAATGAATGTGAGGATTGCTTTTTCTATTTCTGCAAAAGAAGGCCACTGGAATTTTGATAAAAATTACACTGAATCTGTAGATTGCCTTGGAGAATATTGCCATTGTAACTATATAAAGTCTTCTAATCCATGAACATGGGGTGCCTTTATATTTATTTGGGTTTTAAATTTCTTTCAGCAATGTTTTGTAGTTTTCAGTGTATAAGTCTTTCACTTTCCTGGTTAACTTTATTCCTAGGAATTTTATTCTTTTGGATGCTATTGTAAATGTGATTGTTTCCTTTATTTCCTTTCCAGATTGTTCATTGCTGATGTACAGAAACACAACTGATTTTTGTATGTTGATGTTGGACTCTGAAAGTTTTCTGAATTTATTAGCTCTAGTAGTTTTTGTGTGTGCGTATCCTATGGGATTTTCTCCATATAGAATATCATCTGCAAAGAAAGATAGTTTTACTTCTTTCTAGTTAGATGCCTTCTACTTCTTTTTCTTGCCTAATTGCTCTTGCTAAAACTTCCAGTACAATGCTGAACAGCAGGGTATAGTTGGCTTCCCTGGAAAGCTTTCTGTCTAAATCATCACTAAGTACAGTGTTAAGCTGCGGGTTGTTTTTTTTTGTTTTGTTTTGTTTTTTCATATAAATGCCCTTTCTTTCTTGTGTTGGTTTGGATATTCTTCTCTTTTTTTGTTTTTTTAGGAATCTATGTAATTCACCCAAAATTTCAAGTTTATTGCCATAAATACATAATATTCTTTGTGAGCTCCTAATATTTATAGGATTTGTAGTAATGTCCTTTTTCATTAGTGATATTGGTAATTTATATTTTCTTTCCTCTTTCCTGATTAGCTTTTCTAGAGATTTATCAACTTTATTAATCTTTCCAAAGAACCAGCACTGGTTTCAACAATTTTTACTATTACACATTTATTTTCTATTTCATTGATTTCTGTGCTTAGCTTTTTTACTTTCTTCCTTTTACTTTTTCTTGGGTTTAATTGGCCTTTACTTTTAGCTCCATGAAAATGTAGCTCATTATTTTTTAGTCTTTCTTGCCTAATATATGAATTTAAATCTATAGCTTTCTTGTAAGTTTATTAATTATGTAGTTCAAATAATCTACATGCTTATGGGGTTGTTTTATTTCTTTACATGAAAACAGAACATTTTCACATAAAGAAAGAAAATGGACTACGCATGGTAGCTTATGCCTGTAATCCCAGCACTTTGGGAGGCTGAGGTGGGAACCCACCTCAGGAGTTCAACTAGGAGTTCACCTCAGGAGTTCGAGACCAGCCTGGCCAACATGGTGAAACCCCGTCTTGAACTACAAAACATTGCTGAAAGAAATTTAAATCACATTAACAATCACATTTACAATAGCATCCAAAAGAATAAAATTCCTAGGAATAAAGTTAACCAGGAAAGTGAAAGACTTATACACTGAAAACTACAAAACATTGCTGAAAGAAATTTAAAACCCAAATAAATATAAAGGCACCCCATGTTCATGGATTAGAAGACTTTATATAGTTACAATGGCAATATTCTCCAAGGCAATCTACAGATTCAGTTTAATTTTTATCAAAATTCCAGTGGCCTTCTTTTGCAGAAATAGAAAAAGCAATCCTCACATTCATTTGGAACTGGGGCCCCAAATAGCCAAAGCAGTTTTAAAAAAGAAAAACAAAATAGAAGGACTCACACTTCCTGGTTTCAAAACTTCAAAAAGCTCCTGTAATAAAGAAACTGTGGTCCTGGTATATAGACAGACATATAGGCCAGGCGCAGTGGCTCATGCCTGTAATCCCAGCTATTCTGGAGGCTGAAGCAGGGTGATCACCTGAACCAGCCTGAGGCTGAACCAGCCTAAGGAACATACTGGGACTTGGTGTCTACAAAAAATTAAAAAATTAGCCAGGCATCAGCGGTGGCTCACGCTTGTAATCCCAGCATTTTGGGAGGCCAAGGTGGGTGGATCATTTGAGGTCAGGAGTTCGAGACCAGCCTGGCCAATATGGTGAAACCCCATCTCTACTAAAAATACAAAAATTAGCCAGGCATGGTAGTACATGCCTGTAATCCCAGCTACTCGGGAGGCTGAGGCAGGAGAATTGCTTGAAACAGGGAGACAGAGGTTGCAGTGAGACAAGATCACACCACTGCACTACAGCCTGGGCAACACAGCAAGACTCCACCTCAAAAAAAAAAAAAAAAAGCCGAGCATAATGGCATGTGCTGGTAGTGTCAGTTGCTTGGGAGGCTGAGGTAGGAGAATTGCTTGGGCCTGGGAGGTTGTGGCTGCAGTAAGCTATAATCATGCCATTGCACTTCAGCCTGGGTGATAGAGTGAGATCCTGTCTCAAAAAAAAAAAAAAAAAAAAGAAAGAAAAGAAAAAAAGAAAAAAGAAAGAAAATGAATTCCATTAGAAGTCATTAAAACAAGGCTTGATTTGTTAATTCATTTTGCTTATTTGAATAATTTAATTAGATCTGCATGTTTTCCCAAAACAGAACTTGTTACCTCCAGCTACAGCACAGATCAATTTGTGCTTTCTTCTTTCATCTGTGGCTCAAAATCCATCCCTTCTAGAAAGTTCTCCCTTATATTAACTTCATTTTATGAAGTTAATTTGATCTTTCATTACTCTAACTCCCATTAATTAATATTTTAATTGCACTATTTTATTTTGCATTGTTAAATAGATATTTAAAAACTATTTAAGAGGGCATGATTAACAATGCTGAACATGCTAGACAAATGCTAGAGACAAATGCTGAACAGTGCTAGAGAAATGATAAAACCATGTAGCTTATGGCCGCAAATTTGTGGTCTCCAGTCTCAGCCTGATTCTCCACATTGCTCTCTAATCTTTCTATCTATTCATGCTCAGTATCCTAAGCTTCCATGCAGCGGTTCTTTCAAACCCTTGTTACTCCCTTTTTTTGAGACTCACTCTGTCACTCTCTCTCTTTTTTTTTTTTGAGTCTCACTCTGTAGCCCAGGCTAGAGTGCAGTGGCTCGATCTCAGCTCAATGCAACCTCCACCTCCCAGGTCCTGGTTCAAGCAATTCTGCCTCAGCTTCCCGAGTAGCTGGGATTACTGACATGCGCCACCATGTCCAGCTAATTTTTGTATTTTTAGTAAAGACAGGGTTTCATCATGTTGGCCAGGCTGGTCTTGAACTCCTGACCTCATGATCTGCCCATCTGGGCCTCCCAAAGTGCTGGGATTATAGGTGTGAGCCACTGCGCCTGGCCGCCACTCTTTTAAGTGTTACCCTATCACTTCCTCCCCTATAATTTTCAACTGTAATTTCTTTTTGAGACAGAGTTTTGCTCTTGTCACCCAGGCTGGAGTGCAGTGGTGTGATCTCGGCTCACCAAAACCTCTGCCACCCGGTTTCAAGTGATTCTCCTGCCTCAGCCTCCTGAGTAGCTGGGATTACAGGCATGCACCACCACACTGGGCTAATTTTGTATTTTTAGTAGAGACGGGGTTTCTCCATGTTAGTCAGGCTGGTCTTGAACTCCCGACCTTAGGTGATCGGCCCACCTAGGCCTCCCAAAGTGCTAGGATTACAGGCATGAGCCACCACACCCAACCTCCCCTATTTTTCTGATACCTAATGACTTTAACTAACAAGGATGCCACACCTTTTTGAAAAGTAATTTTGAAATCTCTGAGAGTAGATTAAATCTTGGAGACAAACAATGACATACGTGTATTTGATAAAAAGGTAAAAAGGCAGAAATAAAAATGAGGACAATTTTCTCCTACAGAGTAAAACACTTCATCAGTAGATAAGATTGGAGATTATATAAAGGTGTTTTACTAATTACTAATGCACAGATTAAAATGTTAAGCCATTTAAATTTTTTAAAAATTTGCCAATTATCATACTTAAGTTGAAAAAAAGCTGAGGATAGAAACTTGATTTATTATTGATTGCTTAACATATTTTGAAGTAACATAGAATGAGAATTAGTTACCTAATCAAGTAGCAACAGAAGAGTAAACTAAGGATGAAGACAAATATAGCAGTACCAAAAACCACAATATATATGTTGAGAGGCAGATTCTGGAATCCAATATTAGGCATCCTGAAGTTGTAATGTGGGAAATCTGAGCTCATGGATGAACTGTGGGGGAAGAAAAGAATGAAAAAAAATTAGGTAAAGATTAAGAACCAAGATAGCATTATCATTGTGCATGTATAGAGGCACAACAACTGCATCTGAAAAAAATATGGTAAAGTGTTAATATTCTTGCCATTCATTCATTCATTCATTCACCATGCCAAATATTTACTATTATGTACTTGGCACTATTTCAGAGACTAGAGATCCTACATAAAAAGCTTTGCAAGTTGCATTTATTCACTAAAAGGCATTTCACTGAAATAATGCCAGTAATTAATAAACATAAAAATGTTCAACTTCAGGGAAGTGCAAAAAAAAAGTTTTAAGATTCTTCAAACCCTTTAGCCTTTAACCTAGTAACTCAAACCCTGAAGTAGCAATATTTATAATGGTAAAATATTAGAAATAACTTAGATATCTCACCAAGGACATAATAAATAATTATATAGTCATATGTTACAGTATTAAAGGGTCATGAAAACATTTTCAAGTAATTTATTTTCTTTTGATACAGAGTCTCACTCTGTCACACCAGGCTGGAGTGCCATGTTGTGATCTCAGCTCACTGCAGCCTTAATCTCCTGGGCTCAAGCGATTTTCCTGCTTCAGCCTCCCAAATAGCTAGGGCTACAGATGTGTGCCTAGCTAATTTAAAAAAATGTTTTTGTAGAGATAGGATCTCAGCATGTTGCCCAGGCTGGTCTTGAATTTATGGGCTCAAGAAATTGTCCCCACTTGGCCTCCCAAAGTGTTGGGATTACAGGCATGAGCCATTGTGCCTGGAATCAAATAAATTTTAATGTCAAGAGAGATACTGGCGAAACCCCATTCTCTAAAAAAATACAAAAAAATTAGCCAGGCGTGATGGAGCATGCCTGTAATCCCAGCTACTAGGGAGGTTGAGACACAAGAATCGCTTGAACCTGGAAGGTGGAGGTTGCAGTGAGCTGAGATTGTACCCCAGCCTGGGCAACACAGCAAAAAAAAAAAAAGAAAAAAAGAAAGAAAGAGAAAGAAAGAAAGAGAGAGAGAGAGAGAGAGGAAGGAAGGAAGGAAGAAGGAAGGAAGGAAAAAAGAAAAGAAAAGAAAGGAAGGAAGGAAGGAAGAAAGAGATTGATTAAGATACATGAGAAAAAATAAGCAGGATGTAATTGCATATAAAATATATTATTTTTTGGTAAACCTGTAAATACACACACACGTGTGTGTGTGTGTGTGTGTGTATGTGTGTGTGTGTGTGTGTGTACGTTTACATAGCAGAAAGCCTGAACGCCAACACATCTAAACATGAACAGTGGAGCTGGGTACGGTGGCTCATACCTGAAACCCTAGCCACTCAGGAGGCTGAGGCAGGAAGATTCCTTCAGGCTGAGACCAGCCTAGGTAACACAGTAAGACTGCTTCTAAAAATAAAAAAACTTAGCTGGGTGTGGTGGCTCATGCTCATAGTCCCAGCTACGTGGGAGTCTGAGGTGGAAAGTTCTCTTGAGCCCAGGAGCTCAAGGATGAAGTGAGCTATGAGTGTGCCACTGTACCCCAGCCTGGGCAACACAGTGAGATCGTTTCTTTTCTTCATTCCCTCCCTCCCTTCCTCCCTTAATATTACCACTTATCCTCAAGTTCTTAGAGACCCTGTTTCTTAAAAACAACAACAGCAAAACAAAACAAAACCAGTGGCAGTAGTTTTACCAGTCATTTTGGTTTCTTTTTTTAACTCTCTTTATTAAGTCAGGCCCTATTCTAAGAATGTTCTGGTATTATTTTATTTAATCCTCATATCAAACTTCTGTGGTAGGTACCATAATTTCTCCCCATTTTATAGACAAGGAAACTGAAACTTAGACAGTTCTGGTCCCACACCATGATTGACCAAGTATGTACACAGCCAGAACCTCTCCAACTCCAGACTCAGTGTCCTCAGTCCATATGCTCCATTGCCTTTCTCATGTGTTACTTTTACAATCGGAAACAGTAAGTGTTGTTTAAACATTTAAAAAAGGACTATTTCTGTCAGTCTGATAATACTTATCACTACAGTTAAAATTCCACAGAAAAAGGCTGCCCCTCTTGTAAGTTATAAGTCTGTAGTTTGTCATTTTGATTCCTTACAAAATAAAGAGCTCCTGCCAGGCCTGCTTATTAAGATCAAAGACTGATAATGGAATTATAACTATGAATACTACGAATCCAAACCCAAACAAAACCCTACCAAGCAAAGAAAGCTTCTACTTTTATCTACGCATGGTAAATTAAAAATGTGTTCATAGATTTTTAATGTTCTTGTAGGCTCCCAGAAGAGTATATTTATACTGTTGATACCACTGAGATGCTAACTGGCTGTATCTGAAACCTAAATTTTATTATTAGTTTCCAGTCTCCAGTAACATATATCAGGAAGTTGGCACCTGCAAAGAATAACTTCATCCCATATAAATTCTTTTCTGAGAGCTTCCAAACATAAATAATGGGTAATATTTAATTTTGAACCTTTGACCATTTTCTGGGTTGGCTCAGTTAGAGCCAACTCAAATACATATTTAATTTTCTTTTTCCTACATTCAGATCTTCTTAGAAAGGGAGGGAAGGATGTAGTTAAGGAGTGCTTTATCAAATATACATAGCACATATGCTGTAGAACTATTAGAAAATTACAGCTGCATAAAACTTAGCTCTTAACTTTCATATTTCTGACAGGGCCTCACTTCATGACCCTTGTTATAGCCAAGATTTAGATGGCTGTCTTTTAATCCCTTAGAAATATCCCTTCACAGACAAGACTGGCTTGGTAAGATATCTCTCATCTTAGAAAATAAGAGATTAGGCTGGGTGCAGTGGCTCATGCCTGTAATCCCAGCACTTTGAGAGGCCAAGGTGGTGGATCACCTGAGGTTAGAAGTTCAAGACCAGTGTGGCCAACATGGAGAAAATGTGTCTCTACTAAAGATATAAAAATTAACTGGGTATGGTGGCACACACTTGTAATTCCAGCTACTCGGGAGGCTGACGCAGAAGAATTGCTTAAACCAAAGAGGTGGTAGGTTGCAGTGAGCTAAGATTAAGATTGCTCCATTGTACTTCAGCCTGGGCGACAGAATGAGACTCTGTCTCAAAAAAAAAAAAAAAAAAAAGAAAGAAAGAAAAAAAGAAAAGAAAGAACATCCATACTGGGCAAGCTAATAGAGAGGAACAGGCAACTGACAGCAAGTACAATAGAAAGACAGACAGTTTTGCAGTCAGCAAATCTGGATGCTTGTTTCCAGGATGTCACTAGCTAAATGTCAGAGGTTGGCCCATCTATACTTCAATTTTCTTATCTTTCAAATGGGATAATGAGTGTCCTATCTATCAACTTTAAGGGATTCCATTTTTTCCTGAAAGGAAAAAATGAGATAGCAGATAATGAAATGTCTGAAAATTTTAAGAGGACAAAAATATTAAGGTGTGTGTGTGTATGTGTGTGTGTGTGTGTGTGTGTGTGTGTCTGTGTGTGTGTTTGGGGAAAGGGAATGACATTACATGAAAGTAGTAAATAACATTAAAGAAGCCTTGACAAAAATCATGTCTTTGGAGAGGATTCCACCAAACCAAGTGCCCCTTCCACATGGCCATGCATTGACAAGCTTTCTGTCAGGTAGCCTGCCAATCTGGCCCCCAGACACAGGAACTAGAAACCTTGTCTGGCCAAAGACAGTCATTAATACAGGCTAGCTAGGAGTGAGGCCAGTGGTGTGGGAATGTTGCCTGGCAGGGTCTTCGCAATGGGTACAATTCTGGTAGCATTCTGAACAAAGACTCAGACACACAGAGCATTAGAGGCAGCACTGCCACCAGATGGAAGAGACATCTGCCTCAGTGCTGCAGGGGTTTGGATGTTGAGACTTTTGTGAGTCCTGGCTACCCAGCAGGGCCTTTTAATAAACCTAAATTACCAGAGGGACCAAGGCTGGTAGAGGATATGTTGATACTGAATATATTTTAGGATTTTCTCCCTATGTTGGCCCAACAATTTAAGAAGATGGTAGATTATTCCAAGATGTTAATCCTGATCTAGTGATATATTCGTTTTTCCAAAATTTTCATCATAATGTATTTTCAGCATGAGTATTAATCTTTTTTTTTTTTTTGAGATGGAGTCTGACTGTGTTGCCCAGGCTGAAGTGCAGTGGCACAATCTTGGCTCACCATAACCTCCGCCTCCCAGGTTCAAGTGATTCTCCTGCCTCAGCCTCCTGAGTACCTGGGATTACAGGCGTGTGCCACCACACCTGGCTAATTTTTGTATTTTTAGTAGAGATGGGTTTCACCATGTTGGTCAGGCTGGTCTCAAACTCCTGACCTTGTGATCTGCCTGTCTTTGCCTCCCAAAGTGCTGGGATTACAGGCATGAGCCACCAGCCCTGGCCAAGTATTAATATTTTAAAATAAATTTTAAAAAGCCTACATATTCCTCATCTTAGTAATATGCATTCTTTGCTATTGAAATCTTACAAACGTAAGTTATTTAGTAATTGCTCCCTGTGGGAGTTAAGAGGAAAAATAGAACACACAGTACAGTGTTGTATCTTACTTGGCATTTCCAATTTCATTCATGTGAAAACCTTTTTTCCCCTTATGTAATTCACAGTTCTTGAAATCTCTAGCCTCAGCCTAAATTTCAAACCACCTAGTCAGCTTATTAACACCAAAGCAAAACACACAAACAAAAAGATAAGAATATTTGAGAACTTTATCAGCAATCTTAGAACAAAGAAGTTCCAAGACAGATTACTTGAGACTTGGATGCCTATAGGACCTGAGTTTAACACAATACACCACAGCGGTAGCTTGGTTTGAGGCTGCAGTAGCGTTCCTCAAAGCATGTTTGGTAACCACATTCTTCTTAGATCAGTTCCTGTTCCCTGGACAATACCATACCATCTTCCCAAGAGTGAGTATTCTAGTTTTGCTTCAGAAATGCTCTGAAGCTGGGTGTAGTGGCTCACTCTTATAATCCCAAGCAC